TTGATATAGAGCTTAAAGAAATAACTCAGACAACTAGGATTTGTTATAGAAAGAGTAGAACATGCCAAGAAAATAGGTAAACAAGGAAGTCTCAAGAAGAGACCACATTTCTCCTAATAACTCAATCTAATGAAAAGATGTAGAACCACTGACCCTCTAAGAGGCATGCCAGAGATCAGCTTTGGCCAAGCATGGTTTATTACACTGGGGCTATCCTGCTGGAAAAGAAATGGACTGTGTGCCCATCCTGGCTTTCAGACAAGATGGGAAGTTTCTACTTGACATGAAATAAATTATAAAGAGAGAACCATAATGTTCAAAATTCTGGTAAAATCTGATTCTGGAGGTGAATGCAACAGTGCCCCACAGAAGAGGAGAGGAATGTGAGAGGAGTTTTTAACTGGTGCCTGCAGTCAGGGTAAGGATTCTCACCAGGGGATGAAGTTGGAGCCTCTATGGGAAAGCAGTACCTTGTGTTCCGTGAAGCAGTGACAAAACACAGAAAAGACATGGGGTCAGGTGCAGGAAGCAAGAGAATGAAGTACCTCTGGCCTTATCCAACAAGCTGAGCTGTTGTAGGGGAAGCTGTGATGGTGAATTTCTGTTTCTACCTGGCATGGTGTCCACCTACATGATGAAACATTATCCTGGATATTTCAGGTGGGAGGGGGCTTCTCAGATGATATTAACATTTCAATTGGTGGTTGGCAAATATAGTAGAATGATCTCCTTGAAGTAGGTGGGCTTTATCCAGTTAGTGGAAAGACTGAATAGAGTAAAAGATTAATGTCTCTCAAGTGACAGTGAACTCTGCTTCACACTTCCTCTAGACTTTCTAGAGGTTTCTTTCCTCACTGGTTTTTGACTTGGCTGCTCATCTGTAATTTCCAGGTCCCTGGCCATCATGCAGATTTTTGATATAGTTTCCACAATCACACAAACCAACTCCCTCTCTTTATAAAAAGAAACAACTGCTTTTCCATATCTAGGTAGGATTGCTTTCAGGACCCCTGTGGAGACCAAAATCCGTAGGTGCTCACATTATTATGGAATACAGCCTAGTATTTGCATACAACATTTGTACATCCTCCCTGACACTTTAAATTATCACTAGGTTACTTATAATACCTAATGCCATGTAAATGCTATGTAAATAGCAGTTACACTGCTTAGGGAATACTGAGAAGAAACAAAAGTCTTGGCATGTTTTTATGAAAAATACCTCAGTCTGTATTTTCTTTTCTTTTAGTATTTTTAGATTGGAGGTTGGTGAAATATGTGGATGCAGAATCCAGGATCTACTCTACACACTCATTCTATTGGTTCTGGTTCTCCTATGTTCCTTAATGCAGAAGCTAATGAATATTTGGGGGAGAAATCTTTTTCCTTTCTTTCATGGAAGAAGAAAATGTGGTCCATGGAGAAGAAATTTTTTCATGTCATTATAATAGCTTGACTATTTGGTTCTCTTCCTATGAGAAATATATGCATGCTTTCTCATTGGCAGATGGCTCCCTCAAGTATCCTTTGGCAGGAATGTACGACCCTGACCCACTGGTTTTTGACTGGGCTGTGTGTTATGTCTTGGCCAAACAGGTATAAATGTCCAATGGATTTGATACATCCAACCTGACAGTTAATTGCAGCTGCATCATTTTTTAAATTTTTTTTATTTTAAAAAATATAAGAAGGAAAACATATTAACAGACATCCATTTATAAAATAGCATAAGAACAGTATAAACAAAATAGAATTACAGGCAAAGATGTAGGAAATTAACCATGGTTGTTGTATTACTTATTGATATCTTCAAAGTGGTGTCTTAGGAAAATAAATAGAGACATACAAGATTGATCAAAAAAGTAATCATTGGCTGCTGCTTCAACCAGGATCCCAGAATGAGTAAATAGCTGGAAAAAATTTGCACTGAACCCATAGACTAGAGTCAAGCCCAATTTAGGCCAGATGAGCTCAGGAAAACTTTAGCTGTGGCCTTTAATGAGCCAGGACAAGCGATAAAAGTTAACATTGTAAATCGAGAGCTGTTGGCCTGGTTTCTTTCCTCACAGAAGCTACACAAATCACGCAATAGATTCACAGCTGGGCATCGACATGCACTATCACTTTGATATCATTTTCCAAATAGTTTTGTCCATTTATTTATTGGATCTCTACTATGTACTACTAGGGGTACATTCTCTACTCATATTTCCATGAAAGGGAGAGATATTTCTCTCTATCCCTCAGGAAGAAAAATATCAAGAAGAGGTGTTGAATCAAGTAGGACACAGAAGATGAGCCCTTGCAAGATCAGAATAACTGAAAGGAAAATATCACTGGTAATCCCAGATTACCTGAGGAGTGAGGGTGAAAGTCTCTTTAGATAAATATTTGAAAAATTTATGAATGAGTGAAATTTTAAGCTATTTGGTCCCTGTTTTCTTTACCCAGCCAACCAACTGAAATGCTAACCTCATTCAGAGAGTTACAGAGACATCCAGAAACAATATGTAATGAAATATCTGGACACTCAATGACCGAGCAAGTTGTCACATAAAATTAACCATTACAAGTCTACCATTTGTCTACCTGGCAACTCATCTCCTTAAACCACACTTAATCTCTGTATGAAGACAGTAATGAAGTCCTCATTTTACCTGAGGTTACAAAGCTATTCTATAAATAAATAAAAGCTCTTTTGCTTATAATCCAGTAGTGAATGAAAAGCCATTGGGTGATAATTTCTCTTTTATATATCACTTTAACTTAAATACTATGGCGTAAAGTTAACAATACTTAAATATTGATTTAAATCAATGTAATTTATGTTACAGGATACAGAAATAAGAGGAGTAAAACAGATACTGCATATATGTCAAATATTTTTCTCTCCACATATATGGAGAAAAAAATATATTTGTGGATTAAAATAAAATATTTTACTTCATTCATCACCTCTTCTTGATAATATACAAATATATTCATGGCAAAATAAGAGGGAATACTCATAAGAATTGACCAACATTTTTACAACTTATCACAGGGTCATAGTTGGTATTCATAACTATTTTCTTTTATTACCCATCCTGTATTCCCTTTGCTCCAGCAAGCTCTTTGGCTAGTTGTGTTTCTTTACCTGGTGCGATGACCCAAACCTTCATTCAAGAAGGATCTGGCCTCTTAGTGGTCCTGCCTAGAGCGAATGGTTGTACTTATCCATTGACCTTAATATGTGTGTAAATATATTTTATTACAATGAAATTGCTCACATAATTATGGAGATTGGAAAAGCCCAGGTCCTGCTGTCTGCAAGCTGGATGCCCAGAAAAGCCAGTGGCATGTTCATTTTGAAATGATTTGTACACAACGCAACAGAAAACTCCCAGTAGGAAGGAAATCCAGTTAGTTACCCATAGCAGTAATCAGCTCATTAATTCTTACTTCATTGGATTTTCTCCCTTTAAAACTCACTTTCTGAATCCTTTCATGGTTTTAGCACTCAATAAACAATTTACACCTGCGTCCTGTTCCAGGGGAGTCCAAGCTAAGTGCCATGGCACAGTGAGGCCCAATCCTTAGATCTCCTCTCTTATTCAACCTCAATCATTTTCTTGTGACAGAACCACCAGTCTCATGGCTTTAAATATCACACATATGCAGTGATTTTCAGATTATGTCTCTAGGGCCTGAGATCTCTATTAAACTTTTAATGAACATCTCTATGCAGAAGTTTAATATGTATCAGACTCAACAGACTCAGCATAGCTCCTGACAGTTTCTCTCCCCAAAACCTATTCCTCTGAAGACTTACCAGAGGTCAGTAAACTTAGTGTCTCTAGGAAGAGACAGAAAGCCCATTCGGCTGAGAGGGCTTATTAGAGGAGAGGGTACAGGCATACTTCAGCCATACTGAGTAATCACTTCAGGCCACAGCAATAAAGCAAATATCACAACAAAGCGTGTCATATGAATTTTCTTGGTCTCCCAGTGCATATAAGAGTTATGTTTATCCTACACTGTGGCCTATTAAGTGTGCAATGCCATTGTGTCTAAAAAACAATGTACATGCCTTAAAAAAGATTTTATTGCTAAGAAAAATACTAGTAATCATCTGAGTTGCTGCAACAGCAAAGATATGGAATCTACCTAAATAACCATCTACAAATGAGTGAATAAAGAAAATATAGTGTGTGTGTGTGTGTGTGTATATATATATATATATATATATATATATATATATATAGAGAGAGAGAGAGAGAGAGAGAGAGACATTGGGATTTTATTCAGCCATAAAGAATGAAGACCTGTAGGAAAGTGGATGTAACTAGAGTCGATTAGGTCAATTGAAACAAGGCAAGCATAGGAAGGTCAGTATCATATAATCTCTCTCTCACATGTGAAAATAAAAATACATATAGATGTACAGTAGTGATTACTAGAGTTTGGGAAGAATGGAGGAAGGCAGGGTGGATAAAGAGAGCTGGTTTTGATCAGTACACACTGTATACATGTGTTGAAATATTAATAAGCACAGTTAATACATAGCAATCAAAAGTAAAATAAGAAGACTTTGTGAAAAGAAAGACAAGAGCAGCAGAACTAACTTTGGGTCCCCACACTGGAACAGGAAATAAAAGAAATTCCCTATCCAGAGGAGAGCTGTGCTATACAAATGGTTGTATTTGCTGGCAAGTTCTGTTCTAGCTAATCGCGTCCAAAATCTCACTGAGCAGCTGACATACTTACTTCCCAGTGAGCAAAAGAACATATCATAAGGAGTCCTTGATTGATCAATATTGCATGTCTCTAAGTGTTTTCATGAGAAACCACTTTGAAGATATCAATATGTAATACAACAAGGATTGTTAATTTCCTACCACTTTGTTTGTAACTCTGTATTGTCTGTACTGTTCTTTTGCTATTTTGTAAAAGGTTGTCTGTCTGTTGATGTTTTCCTCTTATTTTTAAAATAAAAACAGAACATATCATACAGGCAACTGTTGAGATTGTGAGATTCAATTTATTAGATAGCATAAATCTATCCCTAGTATTAGTATCAGCTTAACCTCAGTATCTAAAGTATTTGAGATTAACAATTAAATTTTGATTCTCTCCTAAGTATCATTCTATCTTGCCTCAAATTTATAGGCTCCAAAGTCTCTATTGATAAAATGAAAATGACATTTTCCAAGTACCAGGAGACAACGGTAGCTCTCCCCATCTTCTTCCTACCTCTCTTCTGACCTTTTCTCATTAACAAATACATTTTTCTTTAGATAAAGTAAAAGGAATGTGTGAGATTTCTTTTGTTAAATGCCAACCATTTTGTCAGGTGACATAGAAAGGGACAACAAAGATATTTAACTAGAACATTCAGAGGAAAAACATCTTTTACTAAATGTCACCCAAAGGTCTAGAGCTAAAGGACTTTGCTCTGACACTGAAAGAGTAAGCTACCTTCCCCCAAGAAATAGCAATACAATGAGGTGTTATTACTTGTTGTGATCAGCTAAAGCTTGATAGCAGCTCAAAAAGACTCTGTTTTCTCAGGTTCGAAAAGATTGGCTACCTGTATTTCCTTTTTGGGTTTCCTTTCTTTGACGTGGTTTACAGATACAGATATTACCTTAACAATGGTTTATATATCTGGTCAAAGTGGCAGGCCTCAGGATAGCCGGCAGGATGGAAAGAGGCAGTTAGAGGCCACAAGCAATGCCAAGGTGCCGGGGATGAGCAAAAGGAAATGGAAAGCTCATTTTCTTTAGCAAGAGAATTCAACAGCTCATATCTCCCAGCAACAATGAGGTGGTCTTGTTGCTAGATCAGGATCGAAGCACAGGGTTCAAATTCCTGAGAGGCAAAGGGAGCGGTGGCAGAAGTCTGGAGCCCATTATGACCACTAGGACAATTAGAGCTCAGATGAACAACCAAGGGACGTGCAGGGCCAACGTAGGCCAGGTTAAACATCAAGATGGCCAGGATACTATTCTGTAAAAAGAAGAGAAAAAATGAATTAAGGATTAGGGTAGACTTGGAAGGAATTATTCCATTCAAGCTAAATTGACTGAGGGAGCAGATTGATGTCAAGAATAGGAAATAGCTAAGGAGATATACATATCCTATATGGATGTGAGCCAGTTCAAAATCCTGTTCTGCATGCCAGCAACTTATTCAACCAGTTCCTGTGTGAGTCACAAACACTACAGCCATTCCTCTGTATCCACAGAAAATTGGTGCCAGGACTCATGAGGACACCGAAACATGCACAGATGTCCAAGTCCCCTATACAAAGGGACACTGTACTTATTTATAAAAAATATATCCTCTTGTGTATCTTAAAATAAGGTAAATGTTATGCAAATACCATTATACTGTATTTATAAGAGAAAATGATGGGAAAGGCCTGTACATATTTAATACAAATATGATTTTTTAAATACTTAGTTTTAATGAGTGGGTGGTTGAATCCACAGATGTAGAACTTATGTCTTATCCTCAGACATTCACAGAAGTTGTTAAGATACATGGGACAGATGTCGTCCTATTTCACAGATGGAAATTTTGAGGTTCAAAGTAGGTAAGTAATGATGTAGGATTACACAGCTTCAAAGAAACAGCAGCAAGATTCAAAACCTGGTCTTCGGTCATTAAATTTATCCTTTTCTAAACATAACTAGACATCCTTTTCTAGACATTTCTAGACATTTTTGGTTAAATATCAGTTTTTACCAGTTATTTATCAGTTAGTTGTTTCCCCATTGATTGTTTAGCCAAAGAGCCCTGCACAAACATCTTCCACCCTAATTCTGCAACTGGCCTTCAGAGCTGTGGCTTCCCTGAGTCAGCCATTTAAGAGCCACACTTGGACTTCCTGGCCCAAGTTGCGAGAGTGCTTCTTCCTCCATTCCCCTGAAGAGGTATAAGGTTCAGGGCTGAAATCCTACTCAGTTTGATGAGAATCTCATGGACATTCTCAAAGATTCACTACCATAGCCCCCCCACACACTGAGAATAAAACCTGGGGAATGACAAATCAAGGGCTTGAAGATCATCTAAGAAAACTAAACCTGGACTGAGAATAAAGACTGATTGTGATCGTTCTGCTATATGATTTGAGGCAAATTTTATCGTTCTGGAAAGTGGCTTGGTTTCTCTAAATCATGCTCTCTTCATGTTTAATGTAAAGATGTTGTTCAAATAATTATCAAAACTCCTTTTATTATTACAGTCATTAACTGTAATGACTGTACAGTTAATTATAGGAAGATAAAATTACTATCTCCCTATAAATTCCTCCAGAAAAAAAACCCTACTAGAATCCCTCAGACCTATATCTGCAAGTACACAGGAAGCAGGGAATGATTACAGGAGCTCTGACACTGGTAGACCTACCCCTATACCCGGAATTCACTCTCACCACCCACCCTTCCACCATCATCCCCCATGCCAGCTCTTGTGAACTCCATCAGTAGGACTTACCTGAGCAGGTTACACTTACATCTTCTGTATGGTCACAGTCGTGATAACCCCAAAACCTGTGCTTGCACTGGTCGAGAGACTGCTCCTTCCCTGAGCAACGAACATCATCCAGCCAGATGCGACCAAACCCAGGACCATATCTTTTCCCGGAGTGTGAAATAAGAGGCTTCCCACAGCCCAGTTGCTTGCATACCACTTGGTCTTCCTGTTCTCCCCAACTGTCATCACAGACGGTGCCCCATTTGTTCTTATGCAGCACCTCCAGCCGCCCAGAGCAAATGCTCCCTCCTCCTACCAGCCTCAGCTCAAAGGCATCTGGAGAAGTTGAAAGTTGGAAAGAGAGAGGGAAAGGAGAAAAAAATGAAATCATCTACATCATCAAGCAAAACCCAACAACACATCTGAAACTCTCCACCTGTGCTTCTGTGATTGAAGCTACAACCCTGTGTCTTCATCAGATCCCAACCTCTGCAGCCCAGGTCTGTTTCCTAGGATCTTTTTACTTTCCCCTCTATTTTATAAATCTTTTTTATTAGTTCATATTTGTAGTACATAATCATTATATTCATCACACAGAGTTGGTACATGAAGATAACACATCTTAACTCTTTTTTATCCTCTTTTACAATTACTTCCTAGTAGTTTTTTTAAAATTGAAGAACTCGCCCCCGCGCCTTGCGCCCAGGCAGCGAGTTCTCCGGGAGCTGCAGCGCTCCTGGGTCCGAGTGTGGGCCGGACTCATACCACCGCGATTCCCAGC